GTAGAAAAATACCATGGACTCAATGTTTGCAGGTCAAGCGGTATCATCAACTTTCTTAAAGCTAAATTCCTCGCTAAGAATAGATAATAAGTGAGAAGATAATTCACTGTTTAGCTAAAAAAAAAAGCTATTATCTTACCGTTATCGCAAATTTTTTGCCCATACCGTAAATTGCATTTGCAGTCTCCATTTTCGCATATTTCAAAGCTCGAACACTTTCCTTCGGGCAAACATTGCTTTTCTATCGTTAAAAAAAAGTCATAGAGTAGAAGACAAAGAAACAAAAGAAAATGCAATACAATGACATTTTAATAATATTGATAATATTTATGTTTCATTTGTTTCTCCTCCACTCCCCCCTTTCAAGTCTTTTAAATAATTAGGGTTAATGTTAGCCACAACCCTGCACCTAACGCCTTATTTACAAAATGAACCTATGTACAGATAACACCTATACGTTGCGCCATTCCGATTATTCCAGAATATAGATGAGGGTGAAAGGAACATATTTGTCAACAAACCTGAATATCCATAATCTGTAAATAAGTGAAGACAAATGATGATAAAGATCAAGGTAGTAGTTGTTGTCGTAGAAACCATTGGTAAACTAGTTAAAGTCGAATAGAGAGTCAAATATTAAGGCATAGAGAGATTATGCTCGAGAAGCATAAGCAAGCAAGAAGCAAGCAAGTCGCCAGCTCTGAATCAAATGATACAAGAAAATTTATAGATATTAAAATTGCAATTGATATTATTCATATAATTAATATCCTAAATACAGATGCAGAGAGTTGTTAATGTTGAATGATTACAATTCATAAATCTTTGATTCGAATGAACTGCAATGACTTTTACTTACAATATATACAATATACATCGTTTATCTATAAATTATGTTTCTTATTAACAGTTTCATAAGTTGTTGAATACTTAAAACATGTTCAATAAATATTAACTTTTCATATGCACATCTATAAGGGGAAACTATAGTGTTGAGACTTTGCATATTCAACGACTTGAATGTTTATATTTTGAATGCGTGTAAAAACTTTACTATAGCCTATTGAAATTTTAAGTAAGCCACGCGCACTGACAACTCGACTGGGAATTGTAGATGATGTTGAATTATTTCCTTTCTTCCTCAGGTCTGTACTGAGGGGGTAAAGTGTTCATTTATATTCGATAATTGGGAGTTAACAATTCATTAAAAATGTTTTTGATGTATACCCAAGTGTTTGGATAGAAAATGTAAACTATTTGTGAGTACTATATATCCCCATCTCCACATTGATAGTTTAAGCGAGGTGCCCGATATTCAGTTCAATAGTTTTTACCATAATCCATTCATTCTTCCCCCAAACATTAATTACACCATCCTTGCTGGTAGCCTAGAAATATCTGTACCTTAGTCCAGTTAGTCTCGACCCCAAAACATAGAATTTCGCATAATCTATTCATGTAGCTTTTGTCCACACCAATAGACTTAATGGGCGTGAATTTCATGCTGGTAGGACCAAATATTCTCATATGCTCTGATATGGGTCCTATTCAACTCTCTGAGACCAGATATCCTTGAGTTTCTCCTCTACCACACTGTTTGGTGTAGCCAGGAGAGACAACTTGACATTTATCGCAGTTGTGAGAGTTGTTCATTAATCATGCATTTGACCTTGCCAACATTGAATATCGATGAGTCTCCCACCAGTAGTTGTCTACAGGGTGGGCAGTTGGCATTGTTATTTAACCTTAACTGAATAATATTGTTATGCGAAGTAGGGTATTGTATCTGTTGTTGATCTATGAGATCTTTGTTAGCTGTAATAGTTCCATCTGAGGGGTAGGGGGGTTTATTACTCGAGTTCAGATGATAGTTTCTTCCGGACATTGCTAATGAAGGATTAAAGCGGATTGATTAAAGAAAAAGGTTCAAATGGTTTATTGCGAGAAAGAAAAAATAGGCCTAATATATTAAGATTTTAAAGACATTTTTAATAAGTGACAATTTGAAATCTATAGCTTTTACTTCTTTTATACTATTTTATTAACACTAGATGGAGCCTTAGCTTAGTTTGATTTCTCACATTAGCCGACTTTTTACTGTTGGTGTCAGGGTAGGATTTTAGGTTGAAGATTTCCCTGTTTTATTTTCGTAAACGTAAGATTTAAAGATCCTATCGACAAATATTTTCGTAATAAATGGTAATATCTGCTACGAATGGCTACTACTGAAGGGATTAACAATTACTCAGTAAAAGGGGGGCAAGGATCAGCTGATGTAAGTAAACAAATGGCTGAGAAATACATTAGCCCTATAGTAGAGAGAATAAGATTACAAGATATCGCCGGATCATTAGATCAAGCTCACAAATATTCATCAGATTATATTAATACAATTGATGATAGGCCAGTTTATCCAGATCAAAGTACCATTGATAAATTAGATGTTTTTGATACAAATCTTCAAAATGGTGGTGAAGATATTGAATCGATTCTAGAGTCGCTTCATACTTATGGCAGTCCTGCAAGTGTTGCCCAAACTGGTGGTCGTTACTTTGGTTTCGTTTGCGGAGGAATCCTACCGTCGGCTCTCGCCTCGAAATGGCTAACTGACGTTTGGGATCAGAATGCCGCTCTGTTTGTCATGTCTCCAGTAGCCAGTAAACTTGAACAAGTTGTTGAAAAATGGCTAGTTGACCTATTAGGTCTACCGGAGGAAACTGTCGCTGGGTTTGTTAGTGGTAGTTCAACGGCTACAATTATTGGATTGACTGTTGGACGCAACTATCTTTTAACAAAAGCCGGCTACAATGTTTTCGAAGGAGGCCTATTTAACGCACCGCCAATAAAAGTTGTCTTGGGAGAAGGTTCCCATTCAACTGTTTATAAGGCTCTTTCAATCGTTGGATTCGGTACGGCGAATATCGTTAAAGTTCCGGTTGACGACCAAGGCCGAATGACCGCCGATCAACTACCTCGGCTGGATGGTAGAACGTTGTTAATTTTACAAGCTGGACACGTGAATTCCGGTTCTTTCGATGATTTTCAAACTATTTGTCAGAGGGCAAAGGAGGTTGGCGCCTACGTTCACGTTGATGGAGCGTTTGGACTATTTGCAATGGCGAATAAGAGATTCAATCATCTAACTAAGGGTGTTGACTTGGCAGATTCGTGGTCGGTTGACGGGCATAAAACCTTAAATACTCCGTACGATTGCGGCGTCATCCTATGCAGACATAGGCAGCAATTAATCAACTCGATGCAAATGACAGGTTCCTATATCATTGTTAGCGAAAATCGAGATAACATGGTCTATACAACCGAAATGTCGAGGCGTGCAAGAGCTATTGAAATGTGGGCCAGTTTAAAAAGTCTCGGTAGGGATGGAGTTGGCGAATTGGTATGGGAATTACACAAGAAAGCCGTCTATTTTGGAGAAAAACTCGAAAAGGAGGGATTAGAAATTTTAAATTCTATAGTCTTTAATCAAATCCTTGTACGCCATAAGGACGACAATAGGACTAATTTACTGTTGAAATCAATCCAGAATTCTGGTGTCTGTTGGCTTGGCGGAGCAAAATGGAATGGAAAGTCTGTTATACGTATCAGCGTTAGTTCATTTAGGACAACCTACGACGATATAGACGTCTCTGTTAAGGACATACTAAGACTTAAAGATGAACTTGAACATAATGATTCAATTTAAATCCATTCGTATCTATTTCGACCTTGTAATTTTTGTGTTATTGTATTGAAAAGGGGGTCGTTACAAACTCGAGAAGGATAAATGACAAGTCAATTGCTTACTCACACTCTCTTTGCCATTCAAAACAACTCTATTGATGATTTCCTTTAATTTAAAATTATTTGTTGGTTGGCAATCGAACGATAATAGAGTATAGTCGTTCGTTGCACTGTTAGGATGACACAAGTGTCCGTACGAGGACTTTTCATTTTCGGTGTTGTTCATATTGCTAAAGACGGTTTGTCTCGAACTGTCGTCGGCCGTTTTAATAACTATTGGATTATAGATAGTTATCTTTGTGCCTTGGTCACTTTTAACTTTCAACTGCAGGAAAGAGGACGCCGAATGGAGTGGAACGCAAACGAAGATGTACTGATCAAAGAAGTTGTAGTAGGCCGAAAATTTACATTTTACGCTGTCCAACAGAGTAAGCTGTCTTCCGCCTGAGGAATAAGAAAGTATTGGGTAGAATTTAAGTAGTTTTAGTAGTTAAGTGTAGAGATCAACAAACAGAAAGTAAGTTTTATTTTACTTTTACCTATACGAAGAATCTGTACATTGTTAATCAACGGTGATTCGGTATTTTGAAATTCAATTTCGGTTACTTTCAAAAGGTTTACGGATGAAGTGAAGTTTATAGATTGTAGATATGAACGTTCGTTTGGATCTCCTATACCGAATTTTACTTGACTTCCGGTAAATTCAAACCAGAAATCGTTCCATTCGTCGCAATCGACCAACGATCCTGCATGACTTAACTTATGACTTTGAGCGGTGGGATACACCATGTTCAGGAGGGATTCTTCGTTCGGTGATTTTTGATCGAGCAGCAATCGATTTAAAATAGTTGAATCCTTCGTAAATGTTACAGAAAGGGACGAACAATCGTCGGTGAAACCAGCAAGTTGACCCTTAACGCGGAAGGCTATATAAGTGAAATTATTATGTAAAAGAGCGGGAACGGGGTAAGCGTAATTCGTTTTATCGTCTATTGCGTAGACTTTCTTGTCAGCGGCTGAAGGCAAAAACAAAAAAGGTGCATAATTGGAAGAAACTGACTTAACCAAATACAGTATACTATATACAGTCGTTACCATATATTTGAATTGGACCAAATCCGACAAGAACACCATTGGTTGGTTCAATCTGTAATATTTCTAGTCGGACGGAGGTCTCTGTCGTCGTCGATTGTCCATTATAGGTTAAACACATTGTCGTCCAGCCACTTTTCAACATCATAAATTGAACGTGCAAAGAACTCCACGTTACTTTCAACTGTTTGACAGACGAGTCTGGTTCTATTCTATTATTATCAAATGTTGTTTGGCAAACAACATTCTTAAGTGAATATTTTCATCATATTTCAACGATTATACCTATTTTTAATGCATAAACGGTCTGGTTTGGTTGGGTATGCAAACGTTATAGTGGCAGATTGTCCAATGCAGTCCGGCGCACAATTCAAAGTCCACTCTTTGTAATATAGCTCTTGCATAGTTTTGGAACATGGATTTTCTTGGGAAAAACTAGTTTGGTGGCAAGTTGCTCCTAAAAGAGAGTCGGCCACATTTGTATAGATTTTATCATCTTCCATCAACGCTTCGTCTATTTAAATGTAAAGGGGCGAATTTCGTTAAAATACGCAGTATCATACTGTATATAGTATACTCTGCATGTATATAATATATACACTACATATAGTATTTATACATACCGTCGTAAGCAAAGACGAGTATTGACTCGTAACCAAGTTTCTAAAGGTTACTATGAAGTTCGTCAACTTGAAGTTTAATGCTAGAAACTGAATGACCTGTGCCTTGTTTTAATAAAAAGCACGTTGTTCGAACATTCAACGTGTATACTGCTGCGCCTGCATTTCCTCCGAAACTAACTCTAACTTTTTTTGGTTTATATTGATCTTTTGCTTTATGCAAAAGTCAAGTATATCGTATTCCTTCCTAAAATCAATGGCAATCCATTCGTTGAGGCACTCTTCAAACTGGCAAGAAGTCACCCAGTCATCGAATCCTTCCCAACTTGGAATCATTGCTTTGTCGCATCCGAATGAAATACCTCTCCAATCGGGGAAATGAGAGGTAGATGAGCAAGTAGCCGAATTTTTCAGATTAGCGATATTTATTAGTTTTCCCTCTGCAACAATTGACAAACAGTATACAAATTAACAGACGAAACGCAGAATGTCGACAAAAAAAACCGTACTGGTTTTCCTTAATCCTGCCGTCGAGCAGGTATCCGATAGCAGAAGTATTACGAAACATAAAGACGGAAACCGCATTCTAAATCCGTAAGAGAAGAGGACGTTAGCTGCCGTGGTTGAAAAGTGACTATGAGTTTCAAGAATTTCTAACTATAGCTAATAAAAAACACGTTAAAAATGAAATAACTTTTTGTTTACAAGGGTTAGGGTTAGTATAGTAAAAAGTACAATTACTGTTGAATAAATATGAATAAATAGCTTGTAAAATTTAGTTTATTAACTACAAAATTCATATCAATTCAATAGGAGTTTACAATATTTATTTATAAAACTCAAAAATGAAGAAATATAAATAGTTTTATACGTTTCGTTCAACTCGAAGCTGATATTGTTAAATCAAAGCTAATTATTGAATACGCGTTATTTAGAATGTGTTATGGAGAATATGAAATATCATACATTATAGGATAGAGTGTATCATTTGCCTTGTATCATTTTCATTCAATCAAAACAAAAATGTCTAGCGTCTCTTGTAGTTTACTGAGAATAGTTCTCTTTCGAATTTCAACTCTATTCTCTTTAATTCCTAATGGGATTAATGGATTTTCGACTTGTTCATTTACCGACAATTCAGATGTTGCGCCGTATTTAAACGGAAATTTGTTTACTTATTCTATAAAACCTCTAATTGAAAATGATATTTCAATCTATGGTAAAGTCTTTGTCGTCCTTAAGTCAATGAATAAGACACTCTACTTGGCGTTTGGAAGCGGTATAGCCGGAAACTATCACCAAAGATTATGTAGATTATTGGGTTACGACCACATTCACTTTATTGCCGAAGCATGCGATCCAAAAGACGGTAAAAGAGTAGATAGTTTACCCTTATAGTAAAATACAACTGGTGGTAAAGTATTCATAATTCCTTTCAGACGTATTATTGTTGATGCCAATGAATGTTAATGAGAAATATACTCTGTAATTTCCAGATCTGTCTTTCTTTTCTAAATAGTATTATGCTTCTAACCTCCTTCAATATTCTCTTTTGTAGAAAGTATATAGCTTCGACAAATAGACATCATACCGTCGGTTCATTCTGTTTGAAATGTTACAAGACAAGTTCACCGTGTAAGTGTTAGGATAATAAAATAGCTGTTGGGGTTAGGGTTAGTGTATAAGTTGTAAACTGTAAATTGTACTTTAATTTCAGTTGTATTTGCAAGTCTTCATCATGAAAAGATAAATTATCAATTGTATTTAAGAAATAATAGAAAAACGTATAAATTATTGAGAAATCATTCGAGTTTCAATATGAATTTGTGCAGCAAATCTGAATTCTATCGGAATGAAACTCATTTACAGATCGATGTAGAGAATAGAATTCTTATTGAAAATGTTAATAATTCATTGAAACTCAAATTTGTCCGTAATGGGATAAGCTTGAATTTATCATCTGTTTTCTGCTCTAAACACCAACTGGAAGGTAATGTTGTTTGTTTGTTTGTTTGTTTGTTTGACTGACTGACTGGTACTCTTTCTTGTTAAGAACGAAACGTTTGACAAACAGATTTCTCCATTGAACTCATGAAACCGTTTTATAAAAGATTCTTATTCAATACCTACGCCAAAGATAGGACAAGCCTTTTAATTAACTCGAAAACTTTCGGTCACATTCCACTAGTGTTTGGTCAACTGCACAAGCATGTTGAAGCTGCTTATCTAATTTGCGAATTGATTGGACAAGTACCTATTCCAACAAAGAATTTACAAAAGTTTGTCGATGGTATGAAGGTAAAAAGTTGTTGAATTAGTTGAAAACTCTTTACTCGATGTTAATTTTTCTATAAAATATCAAATAACATAGTTTACCAATTGTCCGGAAATGAATTATCATTTAGACGGTCGGGTAACGCCATTTTTTGGTTCGTGTCTAAGGAATAGGAAATCGTTTAAGGAATGCCAACTAATCGACGGACCTGAAGCAGGAACTGTACAGACGTCACTATGCACAAACAGAACGGAAGTTAAAAGTCCAAAAAGCCTATAATTCATAAAAAAAATTGATTTAATAATATTAAATAGCAAAATTTATAATGCAGACGGCGATTTTATACTTTTAAGCGACGGTAACAAGTATTTAACGGCAACAAACTACAACAGAAAAGATGGCAGTAGTTTACGTAGTTTTACTGGAATGCTACTCGTCTACCGCAATTTCGTTTATTATGTACTTTCGTTGAGAAATTTCAAAATGTACGAAACTTTAGCCGTCTGTCAACATTTCGGATACGATAGTGGAACATTAACTTCTGGAATATTCTCTTACAATATCCCCTTCGTCAAGGATAAAATCTTCTCAATCAGCTGTTCAAATCGATATAATTTGTCCGATTGCGCAATTCTATTTAACGCTTCATCATATGCCAGGTATGTATGTGGGCGTGTGTGTGCGCTTGTTCATATTTTCTTGTATATTAACTAAGCGACTATGTTGATTTTTTGCAGTTCAATGTCTTTCTTTACTGATCTAACTGATCAGTTTCTTGTTGAGTGTTTTAATAACGCCGGTATGACTTGATTAGGCATCCTAACGCATTAAGAGCTCGTTTACTTTAAACAGAGATTACTTGCAAAGATAAGGATGCGTATATCTTTAAAAATGGATGCTATACGCAAATTCAACATTCCAGTATGATTTCTATAAACGAGGCATCGGCTGAATGCAATAAATACAATGCTACGCTGTTATATTTATCGGATAAAGAGTTTAAATTTGTTGAACAGATGTCGAATATTAATGAAAAATCAAATTTTCTAAAATTACAAAATAACATAGCCGGAAGTAAATAAGGAACAAATTTTCCAATTGATGTACTATTCCATAAATCGGGTTTTATTCTCTGTAAACAGAGCTGAAAGTCATTAGGGACGTTAAAGGACACCAGGTGCTTGTTCACGACGATAATATACCATATGAATATTACAGTTTTTTACTCGACGATAGCGAAGGGTAGACGCTTCTTTTACAAAAAATGGGGAAATGGGAAAAATGTCCTTGTAGTTTCACTATATCACCAGTTCTAAGGTCGACAGCGAATAGGCTGAAAATTTGTATAGATTGGGACACTTTTTCCATTATCCTACTTTAGAGACTATCTTTAATCTCAATAATCTATCGTTTTCAAGCTACGCGGAGAAATGTTTCGCTCCCCAAAGTTCAAAATTATTCACCACCCATCTCACTCGTCAATCATTCACAAAATGCTTTATATTTCTATCTATCATTGCAAAATTTGGCCTAAAATATTCTATTGTTCCACTGAATTGTGAGAAAAAGGTGTTAAATGACAATTTCTGTAGACTTCCGTGTAAGAATCATTGCAGTTTTTCATCCAAATTTTCTCATTAACAATTGTTTGTTTGTTTAAAAAGACCTATTTCAATTTTCAATTTCGGATGAAATGGAAGATGAAGAGTTTACAAACTGTTCAAGAAATTCTTTCTATTGTAGTGAAGATGTTTTGTGCATAAATTTAATGAACGTATGCGATGGAGAGGAAGATTGCTATTCGGGAGAGGATGAGAGGAATTGTCGGAGCGTTGAAGAGTTTTATTGCGATTTCAATACAACGATTCTATATAAATTTGTATGCGATCACGTAAAAGATTGTCCGAATAACGCCGATGAAGAGAATTGTTGTAGGCATCTTTTCATCATTTCCTTGTTGATAGTACTCGTAGTAGAAACAAATCAATCAATCCTTATCGTTTTTCCCATCTTTCAGTATGGTCTTATTGCCCTCTACAAAACAGGTAAGAATATCCAAATATTTGGTGGATTAACACTAATCCGATTAGTGCTGTCTATTAATGAACAACGAAATGTATATAGGTGCGACAATGGACAATGTCTTGACGGAGAGTACTTTTGCGATAGTGAAAGGAATTGCTTTGACCAAAGCGATGAAAGCTGTATTGATAAACTACAAGACAAATTTGGTTGGTTTCTAACAAATCGACGCCGTTACTTTTATGACGTTACTTTTATGAAATAGATTGCGAGAAATTCAATAGATTCCAATGTCGTGAGAAATGCATTAGACGCGAACAAATATGTGACATGAATGCAAATTGTTTGTATAAGGAAGACGAAGATAAGAATCTCTGTAGATTTCATTTTCGAAATCGTAATCCTTCAAACTGTTCAAAGTTAGAGATAAACAATCGGTGCCGGGTTAAGTACGATTCGACGGGCAATCTCCTCACTAAGGTCCATTATCCTTACGAAGCGTTGAAGAATTGTAATAGATCGACCTGTCCGAGAGGAAGTTACCTGTGTAAGAAAAGTAATTATTGTATATCGATACAAGAGATATGCGACGGAGTAGTTCATTGTACTCATTTCGACGATGAATCTCATTGCGGTAAGATAGAAAAGCGTTGTTTGTTTGTTTGTTTGTTTGTATTGGCATTTGCATAGATTCCTATTCCAAATCTTCTTCCCATTTATTTAGATAAATTCAGACCAAGAGGATATTTCAAGTGTAAGAATCAACAAAGTTTCATTTTGATCAGTGACGTCTGTAACGGTATTGTTGATTGTACTAAGGGTAGTGATGAGCTTTATTGCAATTTTAATAAGACGTCACGTCCTCCTTTCAACTGCAATTGTGCCGAATTCTATTCAATTGAATGTTCATTCGATAAAGATGATAAGATTTCTGTTGAAAATCTAACAAACATTATACTTTCCGGCTATAAGAAAGTCAACTTGTCCAACATTGGAATTGAATTTCAACATGAATTTATTCAATCTTTCTCAATAATTTCGTTAACATTCCATAAAATGGCTGCTTTGAATATTTCAATATCAAAATCATTCCCTAATTTAGTCTATTTACAATTCGACAATTGTCCATCTTTGAATTTGACGTCGATTTTCTTAGTTCCGTTAAGGAATCTGCAATATTTAATAATGAAAAATACAATATTAAATATACCGAATCGTCTTTCATTCAAGAATTCATTAATGCTAAAATCAATTGATTTATCATTCTCTTCCGTATCGTATCTTTCGGAACAGCTATTTATTGGCCTAAAGAGCCTATTAATTCTAATAATAGAGAATTGCCGTATACTCGATTTTCATATAAATGCATTTCGATCATTATTTAACTTGGAATATTTATCTCTATTGAATACGGAAATT